TGCATGCACCTGAGCTCTCCTGACTTGGCCCTGCCTTCCACCAGGTGCTCAATCACTGCTTCAGGCCATGACTTCACACTTCTCTACAGTACAATTTACAATTTTATGAAAATGCAAGCTTTCTATTAATTTGTTTTGTTTTCTCTTTACCTTACTTACGTAAGTGATCAACAAGCACTATATAATCAAAACTTTATCTGAACAAATATGCCGCTGTGATATACTTCCACTTTTACTAATGATTCTTTTTAACTAGAAATAATTTAGTTTAAAATATTCCATTCATTAGAGGACTGTTTCTGTGCCTCACACAGAATCTTGGTGCTCAAAGCACTGTTCTTCCTCTCAGGTACACCAGTGTAAAGCTAGAATGGTTCTGTTCAGGATAAGAAAGCAAAGATGCAAGTTACTATCTGTATGGTAACTGTTGAATCATGGCCTGAATCACTAATTGAGCACCTGGGGAAAGGACTCCTCAGCCCTGCTAGCACAGGTGAAGGTAATTCAGCTGTATGACTGGAAGGGATGCAGCTTGGCTGCACCTCTCTTAGACCCATTTAAGGGCTGACTGCCTTTGGGGGGGGGTGGTTCTGGAGAACTCTCCTTATGACGCTTTTCTTTGGAAGCTGAGAATCTTCTGATATGGGTGAGTAATCTTTTTGTTTTCCTTTTTAGTACTTTTCTGTATGCTAGCTCTTCTGCCCTTTTATCTTTGTTGTAGTGCCTTTCCTTTTATATTGTTCTGTCTAATTGTAACTCTCTCACTGATGTGTATATTAATTAATGCTTATTTTGGTTTGCTGATGGTAAACAGCTCTAAAGCTTAAGTGTATTTTCTTAGAACGTTGTTACTATTGGAGCTTCTGCTGCAGTAGGAAACTGACCTTGTCTGACTGTGGCTTTCATATCAGTTTCCTATCTGCTCTTCCTGCAGCCTCTCAGCACAGTAACATCTGCTAGGCCATAACATGCAGGGAGGCACCCAGTACTAATGGCAAACTGCTTCACAATGAGAAATTCCTTGTTGGTTTGCCTATGTAGAGCATTACAGCCCCTTCCCTGTATGATAACTTCACTAGGCAAAAACATGTTAAAGCAAAAGTGTTTTTTGTTTCAGTCCGTTCTGAGTTAACACCAACATGTCAGCTGAACGAGAATGTGTTCCTTCTAATAGAAGCATTACTTGCACTTTTGGTTTAGTAGATCTACTAGATACCAAATTTCTAGTGGTTTAGAGACTTTATATAAAGAAAGGTCAACATTTAGTAAGTAAGATGCTGTGGCTTCCAATACAACAATTAAAAATATCCACACATTACAGAGGAAAAATACAGTAGCAAACTAACATACATCAACAGAAACTTCATATCCTGTGAGAATTTAAAGAAAGGTCCCCAATGCCTTTTTAAAATCCTCTAGAAAGAAACACTAAGTTTCTTGCACTGAAAAGCTCGTGCTAATTCTCTGCATAGATGTTATTTCCACATAATATTCTGCCCTTTTTTGGGAGTGACTACACTGCCAAACATAATCCCATTGCTGAGATTCTATCAGCCAATAATACCGTTCTGGGAAGACAATTTGTAATGATATCTGAAACATTATGCAAACACAATGAGCTATTTTAATTTTGCTGAAGTTTAAACTACAAGGAAGAAAAATGGCCAAAAACAAAAGGTGAAACCAGTGGCAAACCTAAAGTCCTACCAAGAAACAACTGATGTATAATAACAGAATTTTACTAACATAAGAGGATTAGAGAGAGAAGAGGAAAAAAGGCACAAACAATTGCAAACAACTAAAAATACACAATGTTCTCTAATAGTAAAAAGAAATGACCCAAGCACAAATGTTCCATCTAGTTCACCTGAGCCCAAAAAAATGCTTTTATCATTGTGAAGCCTAAAACTTGAGAGAAATTTTTATTTCTCTGCCTTTCAGTGTTTTTATCTTTCAGATAAGGCTTTTGTGCAGCTAAGTCAAGTTTTATGACTGTTGTTTGAGCCCTTTTAAGTTGTATTTTTTCTTGGCTTTCAAATAAAGCATGGTGTGCTGCCCTGTTCTTTACCTCTGCTCATTTATCTTCTGCAGCTCCAGAGAACTATAGTACACTGGAGTCTGCTTTGCTTTGTTTCTGTACTGCATTTTAGCCTTCTGATTTCTACTGTCTGCCTCAGAAAAAATGGATTTACTAATGTTTGCCTTCAATTCTAATAGCAATCAAGTAACAGAATGATTCCGCTTACAGCAAGTAAACATCATCTTGTCCACCCTATTTGTAGTATTTGATGTAATGTTCAAACTAGCTGTAACTGCAGCGTTTAAGTAATATAAAAATAAAAGTTTGAGGATTTACTTCATAGATTAAGCTGAGTGAATGATTGCCTTGTTGTCCGAGCCAAGACTTGAAGCTAATGCTTTCCAATACCATTATGGAGGGTAAAGGTTAATGAACATTTCTCTCATGTTTCTCTTCTCCATCTCTTCCCAACTGACTTTTTTCTGCACTGAAATACACATCAGTAAGGCTGAGATGCCAAGAACCAGCAGATTACGCTGACTTGCTGTGCTGCTCTTTTGGCAGGTTTTACAATTACAAGGCCTAATTCTACAGCCTTGATGCATGCACATCTTATGTAAAGCCCTGGGAGCTTTCTGTCTCAAGAGCTGCAGCTAATGCCAAATTCTGGTAGAGAAGCTGATTCATAGCATCTGGAGCAACTTTGGCTTGGGATTTCATAATCACAATTTTACACCTAGATGTGAGCATTCCAACTTCACAGTAATGGGATATTAACAGGATGGTAGGGTTTCTTCAAACTCCCACAGGAGGCAGACCAGAATTGAAACCTGTGGAAACACACCAGTGTAATGAAGAGTGGGATCTATTATCTTTGAGTAACTGTCAGAACACAGCGTGATTTTGTAGTGGTAACTTTGTCTTAATTTAACTGCTGGAAAATAGGTCTTAATTAGTTCATATTCCATAACTGACTTGAAACTTTCTGTGGTTGTTTGTTGTTCCTTTACAGGGCAGCATCCAAATGCTTCTGCTCTTGCACATCTTCCTGCCTGACACTCTTCTCTTTCCCATATAATCTCTTTCATATCCAGGCACTTCAGGAACTATTTGCAATTCATTTGATGACAGGAGGGTGCAGTAGAGAACACAATTAGGATCAGGCCTACTGGTGTCTATGCTTACCATCAGCAAATTATTCCAGATACAACTCAGTTCAGGAAGCATTCTATTTATTAAACAGCTTCTAAAATTAGAAATGGGAAACTTATGTTCAAAGACAACAAAGAAATGTTTATCTTAACAACTATGACAGTCTGCATCAGAAATGGTGAAGCTCCTCAGCAAGCACAGTTAGCACTGCCATCAGAGCTGCTGCACTAACGGTGTTAACTTGGGTGCTTGCCCTCAGTTTTCAAGCTTAATGTACAAGATTTAATCTTCAGATTGATTTTCTTTTTTCTTTTTTTGTAAACGAAGCACAATGTTTCCCCTTATAGGAAATCTTATTTATTCCCCAAATATATAAAAGTAATTTAAAATATACAAAGAGGAGGTTTTAATTCTAGCTATTCTTGTTTAGAATAAGCTTTATATGTTCAGTAAGCCTGCTCAGCAGAAATAAATGATCAATTTTGCTCTGGGATGTCAGCTTTATGAAGTTTTTTTAACTAGCTTTTTTTCTCCCTCAAAGGAAGTTGGGAGAATTAATGTTTCTATAATGTTGTAGATTTAGCATTAGGAAGAAAGGCCTGGAAACATCAGAATTTATATATGCTTTAAAGCAACAGACAAAACACTTTCTATACTTAACTACATTTTTTAAGCTTGTGCCTTGCCTGGGGAATCTAATTTATGTCTTCAGACTTCCAAAAGTGGTGCCTAAGAGTACATACTCTGCTTCCAGTCACAAGTTCCAAATGCTGAAACCACCCCCGAGGCAGCATTAGGCAAGGTCAGACACAAACCTGAAGGGCAGTTTCTGTCCTCAGTGCAGCAGTGAAGTGTTACCTTTAGCATGTACATTTCAAAGAGCAAATTTAATTCATTCCACAATCCCATACATTATTTTACTATATATCAAGTAAGTATTTGTGCTTCCTGTTAATGTTGTGGTAATTAGAAGTTTTGGGGTAGATTACACAACTAGTGACATTCTGGCATCTTGAGACGCTTGATTTCTTATTGCTGATAAGCAGAAAAAGTAATATGACTTTAAACTCTCTGGACTTCCCACTGTGCAAGGATACTTGCAAAATACTTGATAGCTGGTGGGGGAGAAGGATGTGACATACAAAGCAATGCACAAAAAAAAACGAGAAAGTCAAAGTCTGTGCACCACCGACTCACCAAAAAATAAGGACAAGCTGTGCTCATCTTCCCCCACCAAAACAGGGATGCCATTCCTTCTTGGTAAGTGCTGTCTCTTCACTTCTAGGTGAACAAGATGCAGGATATGATAGCATTTATTTTGCTAGTGCTAATATCATATACCAGCACTGCTGCAGCCAGCCAAATTGGTGGGTCAAAGCCAGGCCAAAGCCTGGTCTTGTGAATCACTGCATGTTAATAATTGGAGACTTTAATATTTTCATCACCAATACACTTAAAGACTCTAGCACCACTACAGATCTGTGCTCTTAGAATCACAGAACGGCTTGTGTTGGAAGGGTCATTCAAGACCACCTCACTTCAACTGTTTGCTGTGGGCAGGGTTTCCATCCACCGGATCGGACCTGAGGCCCCATCCAACTTGACCTTGAGCACATATGCAGATGTGGCATCCTCTCTGGGCAGCCTGTGCCAATGCCAAACCATCTCTCCTAACATCTAACCTAAATCTTCCTTATTTTAATTTAAAACCATCCCTCCTTGTTCTGTTGCTAATCAGACGGTGTAAAAAGTCGATCTCCCTCCTGTTTACAAGCTCCCTTTAAGTCCTGGAGCCCCAGGGAAGCCACCGGAACGCACCGACGTTTCGGCTGCAACCCGACCTCGCCACCTCGCTGGTGCCAGCCGCGGCCCGCAGCACTCCGCTCCTCCTTACAAGCAGAAACAGCAGCGGGCTGCCAACCGCGGGAGCTTCAGCAACAGCGGTCGGCCGCGCGCGGTAAGGGCCGAGCCGCGGGCGCGGTGCGAACGGGGGGTGGCCGGGGCTGGGGGGCAGCGGCAACGCTGGGCGACTCCTGCGGGGCCAGGCAGGGGCCGGGAGCCCGGGGTGCGCCGCGCGGCGAGGGGGTTGGGAAACGGCCGCTCCTCCGTGCTGGAACCGGAGCGGCTCCGCCAGGACGGCGGGACGTGTTTGTAACGTGCCTGAGCGTGGAGCTGATCTGCTCGGCACTGAAAGTACGGCGCTGCTCCCGAAGAATACAGGAGCAATACACATCCGTACGTTTTACATAAGGATATTTAGAACGGTAATTAAAGCTGATAAATGAACTTTGGCTTTTTTTCCCAAACGCTTCATAGAGTGTCGGTGAGTTAAAGCAGACAAGGATGTCTGTGGTTACACAGGCGTATTTCAATCCCTAGCTTTCACTGTGTAACTGTTCTGTCTCCCCTCCTTCAGTCTCAGAGGCCATCTCCCCTCTCACGCAGCAGCTGGTGTTTGGATTTATAAATGATCCCTGGCGTTGCATTATTCAAAGACTTCAGCAGGCATCGGGCCATGGCATGGCTGTGTTTGTTTTCCTTATGCTCTGTGCAATACAGTGCGCAATCAGTTCATCCCTGATCATTAGTAGCTGTGGTTTAGGACTGGTCAGATCACACAGTTCTAACAGTAAACTAACTTCATGGCTTTAACTTAGAAAAATTGTAGAATTTAGTTTAGGTTCAGTTAACTAATTAGCACTCAGATGGTCTAGAAGAATTTGTGAAAGACTTTGGGGAAGCCCAGAGGTGTCCAAGGGGCACTGAGAGCACAAGGTGACAGTCCTGTCAAAGGCGAACTGAAACTATTTGAGGTTCTGCCTTTTAAAGTACTTTAATGAGATAAATCACGTAATTGCAGTGATGATTTCTAAGGTCTTATTTTATAAGATGCTTGAGCACCAACTGCAGCATTTGGCAGGGCAGATTGGAGCAGCTGGGGGAAGCTGCCTGCCCCATGGCTGCAGGGTGCTGCTGCCCTGAGGCTGCCAGATCTCCAGAGCGACTTTGCAGCCTGATGTCTCCCTGTATTGGTTTACTGTAATGCATTACTGAAGAAGCTGCAGAAGCCTTGCTTTCCACCAAGCATTCTGCGTTTTTCTTACTACTAAGATAGAAACTAAGAAACTAGCCATTAGGCTTATAGAGCATTATGCAGATCTCAAAAGCCCTAAGAAATGCCATAATGTCAGACTAGTGGTCTGTCCAGCCCAGTGGATCCAGAATGCCAATTCTTTCTTTGGTTACATACCAAATGAAAGATGAAATATTCTCAGGAGCAAGCAAAGCATTTTTGAGTGATAACGAATCACATGCTTTTGTCTATTCGGTTTGAACTCTCTGACTGTAAAAGGTGAAGCAAGTAGAAATTCTAAATTGATTAACTAATAGAAATATAAAGACAAGAAGCCATGTGAAATCCTGTGCCTAGGAACCATTTACTTAAACAGCTTCATTGCCATGCCAAGTCCTCGGTGTTACTAGGCAAATTCATATGTTACTGTAAGAAATGTATGTAATGCTTTTCATTCAAATGGCTTAAGAATTTGATAGCTTTTTGATCCCTGCATTTTGCTGGGGAAGTTATTGCTTGCACGAAGCAGAAGGAAAAATGGTGAGTATTCGAAAATTAAGCCTATCCTCTTTTTAAGCACAAGAATGCCGTACACCACTAAAGACAATATTTTGTGTGCTTTGGGTCCTTTTCACGGATATGTGAAGGGGGAAGAAAAGATGATTTCTGTCAAGTTGCATATGCTGTTGCTCTGGTGAATCCTGCAGCAAGCTTGGAGCTGGTTAGTTTTGGGGGTTTCTTTGAAGCTGATTTAGAAATGGAGATGAGGCTTTCATTTTTGCACAACTCTAATATGGAGACTGAAAGGGAAAACTTCATCTTTTGGATAATGCTGAATATGATAAAAAATCATGTATTCCACCACATAATTTCTTAATGGTTCTTCAATGAAAGTCAAAGAAATGCAATACACCTGAGTCACTGGAATTTAACAATTATGTGATCTATCATGTGGCCCTGAAAAAGCCATTTTAGAGGATTAGAGTGTCATATTAAACTGTGAATAATATTTATAGCCACCTTGTAAAATTATTCTTGGCTGGGGTGAGTAACTTTCTGATAAGCAAACAAAACACCACCCTATTTTATACATTTTTTCATTTTTTCTCTTACCCAGATATTTATGTTATCATCGTTATTAAAGTGGAAAGGGTGGATGTGTAGGTATATATGTCACTGCTACAGAGGACTGCTTTCAGCAAAAGTACATCTTGGGAGCATAGAGAATGGACTAACTTCTGTTATAGCAATGGCTCCCAACTAGTAACAGCACAAGAAAAATCTCAGGTACCTGATCGTATTTTTAAGGGTTATTTGTGTAATATGGTCTGCTGTGATTTTAGTTACCTGGTAAAATGTACTTCTTTCTCATTTTGAGAATGTCTTACAACCATAACATCCTTAGCGTCACCTACTGTAACTCAGCTGGGCTCAGTGCAGCTACATGAATTTATACGAGATAACGATGTGACCCCATGAAAGAAAGGATATGAGCAGCTCTGAACTTGTTCAAATCTAAATTTTATATAAATTAGTCTAGAGTTGCCCTCACAGGAGGAGATAACACTTTCATCCTGTGCTGAAATTCAGTTTCTTTCTGCTCTTTACAGAAATCTTACCTCAAGGGTGAGCCCGCCTCACAGTGTGCACGTATCAGTGTCTTTTCCTCCAGTTTACTAATTTAACAGCTCATGAATCAGACTGCTCTGCTCAGCACTCCATTGTGCTTCTGATAATTAATCAGATATGGCTCTAATTAATGACTTTCAGCAGAATTTAACTGTGGTCATCTGTAACGTCATCTATTACTGATGTACTTAGGAACATAAGCAATAGAATAAGAACTTGCGGAAGTTTTTTAATGAGAATTGGAAGTTTTTTCCATCATATAATCTATTGCATTGCTTAAGTGAGGGTTCCTCATTTGAAGCTATCTGCCCTTTTATGTATAACTGCATGGTGTGCCATATTGTTGAAAGTTTTCTACACTGCAGGCAGTACCATAGCAACTACCATGTAGAAAGAAGGCATCAGTTTGGCCAAGGCTACTGGGACATGTTCTCAGGGCGGAGCGTGTGCAGCCCTGAATCAGAAGAGCTCACCAGGAGCCAGACAGCTGCTACAGGAAATGCGAACCTGTTAATTGTCTTCTTTGAGCCTTATTCTTTGAGTCATCCCTTTGGTCATTAAAAGCAAAACCTTCGCACTGTCTGGTCAAAGCTGTGCTTTTTCTTGCTTCCATTATTTTTGACTTTTGAAGACAGCAAAGGTGACAAAAGCTGTGTAATGTTTCACTAATCAGAAATACAACAAAAGGCAGCGTCTGTCATGTCAGGAGGGAAGCTGAACTGGCAGGAGATGTATTTATAAAATTTATTCATTCTTTGCAAAAATCAAGTGTAGTGGTTTCTTAAAACAAGAATTGGTTTAAAAAAACTAAACAGACTCAAAAAAAGACAACATAGCATACTACTTCTGCTTGATTAAATATGATGTTAAATGACCTGTTCCCAAGCATTCTATTAAATGTTTCAAAATTCTTGAAAACAGAAGATGAGATCTTGCTGCAGAGTAGCATAGACAATTATAAACGTGTTTTATCAGTAAAAATTTTTAGAAATGCTTGTGCAGCTCAGTCTTATATCTGTTTCTTTAGCAGACGTTTTTCACTAATGCTTTGTAAATACAGAATTCTGAAATACAGGACAGTGGAAGGGTTGTTTTTGTGTGGGTTGTTTTTTTTATTTTTTAGGGGATTTCAGGTGCTTGGACTTTGGTTTAATGTTTTGAGGCACACACAGACGTGGCGCTAAAGCGGCAAGCACTTGAGTAGCAAAGCTGGCTGCTGAAACCTTGCTGGTTTTAAGCAAAGTGGCAGCAAGTCATTGATCACATGAAGGCAGTTCAAAAGCACAAGTGTTATTATGGTGGAAGGTTACAAATGTGAGTTATCTCTGATTGTCTGCCCCTTTTCTCAATAAAATGAAGACTTGAAACTGGTCTGCCCAGTACTGAGTACCCAACCAATATAGAAAGTTACCACATAGTTTGCTATTTCTGCTTTTGGAATATGGGACTTTGGAAGTTATAGCAAATAAAGACTGTGGGAGGCTTAACTCTTAAAATCCAAGCATTTAAAAAAGAAATAAACAAAAATGATTAATATTAGCAAGAGGGAGATCTTAATTTTTTTTTTAATAACGAACTTGATGTAGGAACAATGCTGCCTTGTAAACTCAATAATAGAATGCTAGAAAGACAATGATGTGAAACAAAGTAGTTGTTTTTGGAAGATTTGCTAGAATTCCTCCTCTGGAGCCTGTGCTTAATCAATGTCTAAATGTACTAGGGAAGCACACAGCTGTCCTGGATCAGACAGGAAAGTCAAGGCCTAAAATGAGCACGTGCACAACACTGTCTTGCTCCTTGTAATGCATAAGGTACATTTATTTAAAGTAGGGGCAATACCAGTACTAGAATTTGTTCAGAATAAGTACTACCTGATCTTTTCTGAGTTTGTTGTATAACTGAGGTTTGTTGTGGTTGGTGCTCTTTTTTTTTTTTTTTTCCTCCTATATTCACTTCAGTTTCTGGGGATGTAGAGCATTTTGATGCAGGAATGATTGTAAGTACAAAAGTGATTCCTTTGTTCAATTAGTCATCCTCAGAGGATTCCTGAGATTTTTGTAATGATTATGGGGCATTTAACTTGTACACAGAAGCAATAATTTATCACTGATCTAATAATTAATATGAGGATGAGGCACAAAGTAGGTATCTACAAATAAGGTCACTTTAATTTTGGTATGCATGAAGCCAGGGACAGCCTCTGGAACAGTTCAATTCTATTTCCTTTTTCACAGTTACAGAAGTGGAAGAGCAGAAACGAAGACCTGACTTCTACAAGTGCTGAATAATTGTTCTTTCTGCTGATTTATAGCACCACAACATTGAAGCGCTCCTAAAGTTTAGTTATCAAGATCCCTAAGAGAAGACTTGCCTTCTTGGTTGCAATCCAATTTGATGGGGTACATTCTGTCCTTTCCTCCCTTTCCAATCTGCAGATATTATGTGTTTTCCATGTTCCTTTTTTTCTGTTAGAAAGCAAGGTACATACTTGACCTAATTAGTATTTATTTTATCAGAATTACCACAGAAGTAGAACAACTGAATTATCCATGTACTTTCTCAAAAGTATTTCATGTTTCAGCTAGGCTTGGGCGCTACAATAAGAGCAAACACTTATGAGCAACCATGTTTTGCAGGGCACGACTAATGGAAGATGCATTACGTAGGGACAGTTGCTGGAGAACAAATTAATGAATGATGAATTATTTAACTAGGTACATCAGTGATATGACAGCTGGGCTGCTTTTTGCAAACACGTACAGCAACTAATAGGTATAAATCAGTTTTTGCATACTGAAATTGACACAGGTTTTTACTGCTGCTACTAAACAGTGTTTTTCAGTCTGAAGGCAAGGGAAGACAACTCATCCAAGTACTCAGCAGTAGTTTAATTAATTACTTTCATAAAAACAAATATTTTCCCCTGGCACAATATGCACACTGAAGAAACACCTGGTGACAGCACAATCACCTACTTGTTTGTGGTTTGTATTCAGCTGAGGAGGTCAGTCAGTGGGTGTAGGGGAACTGTTAGGTCGTGGCCTGAACTGATGATTGAGCACCTGGTGAAGGGAGTGGCTGGCCAAGGAAGCACAGGTGCAAACAACTTACCTGTGCTTCCCATGTGACTGGAAATCCTATGGATCCCAGATCCACCCCTTCCTGGGCTCATTTAAGGGCTAGCCTGGAGGGATAGCGTTTCCTGTATGGAGATCTCTTCTTGAGGAGTGCTCTGTAGCCTGAGGTCCTCATCACCAGTTACTGAATCAACCTTTTTTCAATGTATGATTATTGGTAGGCCTCATGATAATGTCTGGTACTGTAATTAACTTGGTGGAAGTAGTTTTGTTGTATTCTAGATTTTCAATATTTTTTCAGTGGCGACCTATGAAATACGTGTGACTTTGACTTTAACGTTTGGAGGTGTTTGTAATGCTAGGGATACGGAGGTGTTCTCCCACTTAATGTAACTGCTACTGCATTATAGGGCATAAACTGGTTACGAGCATATTGTAATGTTTAATTTTTCTTCTACGTTTAATTTTTTTTCTAGGAATTAAGCTAAAAAAAATCTATGGATTGGTTTGTTTGTTCCTATGTATTTTTGTATGTGTATGTTCTTGTTCACTTGTGAGATGCTTCAATTACTTTAAATGCTTAGTAAATTAATATGCTACTCGTGCTTTATCTAATTCTTGTGAATGGTAATGGTGATTTTTCACTAGGCAAATGTTGCATTGCTGCTGGGTTCTCACCATGGAAGGTTCCAAGGCATGTACTAATGGGGGTTAGCTCTGTTACTATAAAATCCATCTTTGCCCCGTTTTACGTTGGGAGGGGTCAGCTTGTCTCAACACTGAATCTGGACTGTTTTCTGAGCAATGGGTTGATTTAGATTGTTTTTATCTGCTTTTGTATGAGATGCTTTAGGTTCACTAGTGTGTAGCTAATAGATACCTGTCTGTAGGGAGAAACCTCATTTACTTTTGGTATGAGGCATACATTACCAGCTACAAAGAAGCCAGAGAACATACTGGCGATTCTATGAACAAGAGTAAGTAGCAGAATGGGGGAGTTGTGTAACTTCTGTTCTCCTTCTTAATGGTATACTCTATGGTTGCGTAGGGAGCTGATATGTTAAAACATACTCGGACACGATCTTCAAAATACAGGAGTGTTCACTCCAGCTGGAATTCCTTTCCAGACATCCTTTTTTTCCTCAGTCTAACAGAAGAGAGGTACCCAGAACATTTTCTTGGGAATTCAGCTTTTCAGCCTTTACAGCTTGGGATGATCCATACCTGATAGTGTTCTAAGCCCAGGTTAACTTATTTTGAATCTGCAACCCAGGAAAGAGCAGCTGAACCTGAAAGGTTTCTTTGAGATCTTAAAAGCTACCTGTACCTGCTGAATAAGTTAGGATATACTGCATAGGGGTACTGGGAATAACAGCGTTGTCTTTTTGATTATTATTTGTACTTCTGTTTCCATATAAATATATTTTGGAATACCTCTTAGCTTGTTTTCTGTTTGATCTTTTTTTTTTAAATAGGAGCTGAAATCCAACAATTGAAGGTATCTTTTTCAGGTGAGAAAAAAGCGTATAGAATAAAGAGCTGCTTTGAAAGCAAACAAAAAAAAATACATCTTTCAGTTTATAACTTTCAACATGGCCAAGGAAAGCAGTGCAGAGGAAGCATAAACTACATGTCAGCCAAACAGGAAAGAACGCTTAAAAAATATTTCAACTTATTTTTCAGTCAATCAGGTATCTTTCTTCCTTGAAACAGGTTAAAAAAACCAAGTCATTCATAATAAAATTATGATAGATTTACTGAATTGCTGGCACTGAGCAAAGAGCACTTTTGAGTTTGGTTTCAGTTTCCTTTTGAATAAGGAACCTGTAAAGACTGCAGGCAGCCTTTGTGCATGAGTTAGTGCCTTGACAGGGTTAGTAAACCAAGGAAGAGGGATGCAGAGCTGCACAATGTGCTTCCTACAGCTACTGCAATTGCAGGCCATCACACTGCTGTTAGTTTCTAATGGCTCTCCAGCCGTGATCTTCTTGCCTATGGGGTATATCTTCAGGATTATAGGAGAAATGAGTAAGAAGGGGATGGGGGAAAACTTAATGTGCACTTAGTACTAGATAACGAAATCTTAGCACATGCTTCAAGTAGTTTTCTCTACGAAAAACATTTCTAACTGCTAACACTTCAAGTGTGAAAATATTAAAAACTGTTGATCTGTACCTGGAATGCAGTCCTAGTCTGCAGATTTAAATACTAAAATAAATTCTATAAATCATCTGATAGAATTTGTAGCTATGAAGCTTCAATGTGGCTTTCTTTCAACCACTGTTTTCAAATTATAAGATTAAAAAAAGGGGGAAAAAAATAAGGGAATACAAGGACTTGGAATAGTGCTGTCAGATATGTATGCTAAGCTCAAATGTGAGGAAATGAGAGCACACCTAAAAATCATAATTGCAGATATGTATGTAGGACATAACCATTGGAATCATTTCTGTAAATAGAATTAAGCAAGTAGTGCTAAGCAGAGTGACTAAAATTGATTTCTACTGCTTTGGTATTGAGATGACTGAAGTTGGCTAGAATGTATAAAGATTATTTTCAGTTCAACCATTTCTCCCCACCCATTCTCCATATCCATAGATTTTTAGTGTCCCCTGTATAACAGTTATAGCTTCTGTTCCCTGTCATTGAGCTGTCACTTGTCTGCCATCCAATGAAGAAACCATACAGGCAGCTGCTAATAAAGTATGTGCATGCTGGCTGTCTGCCTACCTCTGAGGAAGCCAGACCTGTAGGTTTGGTGTTGCATGTGGGTTTTTGCCATATGTTGCACCGGTCCCAACTTATTTTTAAAATAAAAATTAAAAATTTGCTTTTGACAGGCCTACAGGTTTTAAAGTTATTAATAGGAAGCTGACAGAGGGACAGTATGAGGAGTTGTTTCTTGACAAAAACAGGTTAAAAATAAAGAGAAGTCAAAACCTCACGGTTCTTCATAATAATAATACATGAATTTCTAGAAATAGTTTCTAGCTATTTCTGTATATAGAGAATAAAATTTTAATTAGTGTGGAAAAAAACCTGCGTTTTGAGCTAATTTCTTTGTGTTGTGATGACACAGCAAACTGAACATTTGATACTTTACCAGTGTGTCAAGAGTACACGATTCTGAAAAGAGAGCTGCTTTTGTTGTGAGGAATGATGGGAAGACTGTACTTAGTCAAGTTTGTCTTTTACTTTATACTGTTTTTTCTTTAGGGTGAAGTTCCAGTATCTTCATGTCAATGAAGAGCAGGATACCTCTCATTCTTCTAGCTTGTGGCTCCTTTAACCCCATCACAAATATGCATATGCGTTTATTTGAGCTGGCTAGAGATCACCTGCATCAAACAGGTCAGTAAGGGGTTGTTACGAGCACATGGTGTTTTGCTGTGGAGGGGAAGACACTTCTAGTGCTTGGTATAAGCTTAGATGTAAATCTATTGATGATTCAATGTGAAACGTTTGGGGCATATTTTATATTGAAATTGTAGCACTAAATTTAAAGAGGCATGAACACCCATACAACTGAACTGTAAGTTTTATCAGCAGTTTTAGAATCATATGGGATAGACAATTTTGTGGAAGATTTTAATAGCTTTGAAACTGGAAATAAACATTTTTTATTTCATCTTTATGTGATGTCAAAGAAGTTTTGACAACTAGGTGAAACTGGAGAATTGAAAAGTTAATTATTCATTATCCATCCTCTCTAAGACAAACAACTTATTTCCTGTGGCAAAATAATGTCTTTAGGAATGAGATAAGAAAAGTTAGATTTCAGATGACTAGCGAGTTTCAGCAACAAAGGAGAAAAGTGGGTAACACCAGGAACTTAGCAAAAATGAGAAAAGGTATGGAGGGGTGTTTTGCTCTGTGCTTGGTAACGTCTTTATTGCTGATACTTTATCTTCCTTCTGACTGCTGAAGCATACGCATCTGAAATTGATTTGAAGCGAATCATGCTTATTGGAACCTGACAGAGTTTCCTAGGAAGTTGGTGCAATAGGAACCTGAGAAAGGTGGTGGGAAAGATGACCTGGGGAACTACAGGCTTGTTGGCCTCATTGCTGTATCAGGGAAAATCCAGGAGGTCCTTCTGGAAGCTGTATTAAGGTACGTGGAAGACAGGAGGGTGATGCAAGACAACCAGAGGCATGTCCTGTCTGACCTATGAAGGAGCCTTCTAGGATGGCACAACTTCATCAGTGGGCAAAGGAAGAGCCACTGATATATCTATCTGGATTTCAGTAAGGGCTTTCACACAAAGCCCTTTATACTCTGAATTAGAAAGATATGAATGAGTGTTCAGTGGATGAGAAACTGGCTGTGAGATCATACTCATTGTAATGGCTTAATGTTTGCATAGAGAGTAATAATGAGTGGCGTCCCTAAGGTCTGCAGTGAGACCAATACTCTAATACTTGCATCAGCAGTGTTGACAGTGGGATCGAGTGCAGCTTCAGCAAGTTTGTGGATGACAGTAAGCTGTGTGATGTGGTCCAAATTCAGTGAACTCTAAGTAGTATTTTGAGGTCTTGAAATAAAATGCTTATTTTAAGTGTGATGTACAGCATTTGTTCAAGGACTGATCATTGTACATCCCCAGGCAGAGTAACTGAAGTCTCAGTGTTTGAGAGCAGCTGTCCAACTGTAGGGGTGAATGTGCATCTTCAGGCCCTGTTGTTCACACAGCCAGGTGGATATGATATATGTTTCTCTAGTTACTCCTGTGGCATCTGTCACTACGATCTTTGCACACCTCATCTATTTCAGTGAATGCATCTTTAAGCACTTTGAAGTGGTGAAGGTAAAGCCATCCATCCTATGAAGAGCTATCATAAAAGATTGTCTGTTATTGTTCTGATGTATTTGTTGTTTACTTTGACTTTCAGTGCAATGACAGCTAAATTGCTTACCCCTTTGATTTTCCTTCTGTTGAATTCTCTTCATAGAAGGTTTCTGAACAAAGTAAAAAGTCTTGCTATTTTCTTTCCTTTTTTTCATGCTTGGCAATATCTACATACATGTGAAGGGAAGGTAAGCATAGGAGTATATCCTTTTGATGTTTATCTGTAAACAGTTTTGAAAAAGTCTTATATGGGGTTTCCTGTATCTAGTTATTTGATGCTTTCTTTTCATCTTCCTGTGCTTCATGGCATCAGAACAAAGATGTTAGACATCCCTCCCCAGTTAATTATAATCTATAAATAAAGCTAATATTGTGATTTTAATGGGAAAATTAGAAAGCTTTTTATTGTGTTTTCCTGATGTTAATAGTCAGAGTTCTGGGAGGGTAATTGCTATCTCTTGTGGTTTTAAGGAAAACCATTACTATTACTTCGATACAGAATTGTATTATGTGATTTTAATGTGTGTGTACTCACAGAAGATAGATTAAAGAAATTAAACAATCCAATTAATCATATTCTGAAATGTAAATGTCTGGTTTTTAGTAAAGAAATTCAAGCTTTAATGTAAGGTATTTTTGCATTTTTAGATGGCTTCAATGTGCGACTAATTATTTTCAGCACTTGATACTAAGTTTTAACATCACTCTACTGCATTTTGAAATAGCTGCTGTTTTTGTCACAAAGCAGGCCTTAATCAGTGATTTGCTTAATGTATTTGATGTTATGTAAATACTGTGGTAAAATTCAAACTGCTTATCAGACTCATTTTGTTCTCAGATATGTGGGTAATGTAGGCCTAATGAAGTAGAGAAAATGCTAATTTCCTGGGCCAACCTTCAGAACTCTGTACCAAAAATGTGCAGTCCTGCATCGTGCAATTGTTCATGCTACTTCTGATCGGTATCCATTGATGTCTTAATGGACTGGAAGAATCCCCTTACTAGAGAAAACTAAGAATGGTTAACCTCAGTCCAAGGGAATTTACAGTACAAATAATCATGCCATTAAGTTCATACAAGCTATTGTAAACTGTCTTAAGTAGACTTGAGTAGAATGACTTAGGATGTTCTGCTGGGTGAGACATTTTTTAAGTTGGTTGAATCTGAATGTGTGGTTTTTCTGAGCTTTTCTGCTTCATGCAGCTGCTCTATTTTCCAGGCATACCTACATACCTCTGTGACCAAGAGCACTGAGGTTGAATTCTCTTCACACTGGTGGACCAGTCTGTTGTCAGTCTTGAGTTCAGTGCTGTTAAGGAAACTGGGCAGACTGCCGGGGGGAGTTGGAAGAAAAGCCAAGCCCAGAGAGTTTGGTTTGGCTTATGTTTAGATAAGTAATGAGTGAAAATCTGTTAGCTTAAGAATAGGCTGAGATCTGTATGGTCTTTAACATCTATGTATGCAGAAAGTGAAAATGTATCTATTTCCTGGTTTTGAGTTGTTAAAACAATATCACAAACACTAACAGCAAGCCTGTTCTTTTCCTATTATAAAGTGTAAACAGAGTAAGGAGTTTCATTGCAGCCTAGAGATGAGATTAGTAATAGTCCATGATAATTTTATGTAGGCCTACATCAGTGAAATTTGTAAAGTTTTGCAGTTTTGAGAGGGATATTAAAATAAATGATTCATCTGCTGTTTTCAGTCATATGAAAGCATAAAATCTTACACACAGTAAAGTTAGCATGAATTCCTTGTGACTATATGTTGGTACTGCCTGTTTATAGCAGTGTCCTGTAAATCTGAAGTCTTACCCTGAAGACTTGACTTGGGCAGTTAATTTGATGTAACTAATGAGACTGGCTAAATGGATTGGTCTGATTCTTAGCTGTAGAAAAGCAAGAGGCTAAATTTTGCAGGAAGTATGCAGCAGGGACTGAAATTTACAAAAGCTGTTAATGCTAAAACAGTGCTGCCTTTAGTAGCATTTTGGGAGAGGAATGAGATAAAGCAATGCTATAAGACTGACCTGTTGCAGCCTGCTCCGGAGGTGACAAAAGGAAGAAGAGTAGTGGGGTCATTCCTGCTATTGAGTAGGATAACACCATGGAGCTGTAGAGCTTCCTAGCTTGTCATGGATTTTTTTTGTATGATGCTGAGAGGAAGATGGGTGATGACATTGTTTCATAGTCCATCTTCAAAAAACATTTACCCTTATCTATTTAGTAGAGAAACTCTAGCCATGTAAAACCCTGTTAGAAGATAAAATTTCTAACAGTAAAACTGTGCGTGGGGAACAGTAAGTTTGCTTAAATACAATAATGGAAACACCAAGAGTCCTTTAAAGCTCAGAAGGCAAATGCATACAGCATAATTATCTGAAGCCTTCATGCACTCCTACTTTAAACTGTCAGTGAAACATGTATGTATGCATATATGGGGGACAACTAGGCCCCAAAGAACTAAGGTTCTTGAACCCAGGAAAAAACAAATTGTTCTCATCTAATCTGTTATTTGTAGTTAATTGTACTTTAATGTGTAGCTTTAACAATAGGTTTTAATTAAACATCAGAACAGGCAATAAGACAGAATTCACAATTGAATGCAATTGATAGCATTCAGAAGAAGTACAATGTGAAGGTAATTCTGACTCAAGGAAAGTTGGAAACTGCCTGGAATGATTTATGGGGCAAGCAAGAAGGTGGCAGAACTTAATGATTTGTTCTTTGTGTGCTGCCAAGATTCAAGCACATATTTGAACATGTGAACTCTTGAATTACAGAAGAGGACACAAGTTACCAGAGTCAGTAATTTGGGGCTGTGCACCTGTATTTTTAGGTTGTAGATTCTTGTCAGTTCTGCTTGGATAGAGCTGGATTTTCAATCACCTCAAACTCTTACCATCTTTGATTTTCAGTACCTGAAGTGGTAGCCGTCTTGCGGTTTTTCTCATTCCGTTGGTTTCATTTCTTACCTTACTCTATTGACCACTTTGCCTACACTGAAAATGCTTTTAAAACAAAGGATGGGTTAGGCTGTCATTTTCATAGGAGACAGGCTTGCAAATCCTATTGGAATTTAATGTTCTTTAAATTTCATCTCCCTTCTTTTGAAAATTGTATCCCTATTTTAGAAAAATTAATTTGTAATTTTTAATTTAAAAATATTGAATTATCATGTCCTAATTTAAAAAAATTGAGTCCAGGGCAATCATTTTCATTATGGAGGACTAGAGGGAACTTGTTGCATTCTGAGTTTCTTTGCTGAAACAGAATTTAAAAAAAATAAATAAATAAAATAGATACTTGAGTACCATATGTATGGTGGTTCTTTAAAATGTATGTGTTGTGTTAGAAATCCTCTGTTTCAGTTGTTTGTTTGGAACGCCTCTTCCCTTCTCACAGTTTAAGGGATGCAACTCTTATCAGTACTTTATTTCTCTGATTTATTAAAATTACATTTTTCTAGTTTTGTTTCCTGAGAGAAACCCAGAAATGCGAATTGTAACAAAGAGTTTGTATGAATGTCTACTTTAGAATAGTGGGAAAAAATATAGGCATATTTTCAAATTAACACTGTGAGATACAAAGGGTTTTTAGTGTCAGCTCAGCTGATGTTTGGATGATAGATTTCTAATCTTAAATCCCATTAGTCCACCTTTGTTTTTGAATCATCTTATTTGTCTGACTTGCATTAATTACATCACAATATGCTGTAACTATTGCTTTAGTGCTATGGAGAGGCACAATGATTTTGATAAATAACAAGCAGCAGGCACTTAAGAACGAAGCATTGGTCAGTTAAGTCATCCATTATTCTGGCTGTCTAAAAGCTGTACTGCTACAATTATTGGAATATGGAATTTCATTCTACCCAGCAATTTGGATAGTTTGCAACACAAATTATAAATGTCTCTGCTTGCTTTAAAATTGCATGTTTACCTCTCCTTTTATTTTGTCTGGAATAAACACATTGGTGGTACTTATGAGCAGCTCAGAGAAACAGCCAGCTTGTTTTTCAGTTCTTTTAAATTGCTGTTTTCTTATTAGAAACATGACTTAAATCTGGTTGTTCACAGCTCCCTGTAACTTTGAAGTTAAGCATGCTTTTAAGAAGAGATTACATTAGATGAGCTCTTGATATTCCATCCATTCTAAATTTTCAAAATGCTTATCAATGACAATATGACTATTCTTTTCCTTTCTGGAAGGAAGATACCAAGTGATTGAAGGCATAATGTCTCCTGTCAATGATGCCTATGGAAAGAAAGGCTTGGTTTCAGCAAGGCATCGGATAGCAATGGCCAAATTAGCACTGGAGACATCTGATTGGATTCGAGTTGATCCATGGGAGACTGAGCAGGAGTCATGGACAGAGACAGTAAAAGTGTTAAGGTAACTGAACTGTTTTTTCTTTGTTATGAATGTCTAACTGCTAGAAATCTGAGCCTGTCAGATCAATGCACGGAATTTGTTCATATAAAACATCCAAGCAAAGCAGAACATGTCTGTTTATGGTATCACCTCTTAGGAGGTGGCAGTGAAAAATTCATGTCCCTTTCCTTTAGAAGGGACATCCTAATCATTATTTCCCCATTTTGAGTCTTTCATTTCCTAGAGCAAAGCAGATAGGCTTTGCCCAGACCAACACGATACCCCCAAGTACTGCTCTTTTGCTAAGTCAGTAGATGCTGTGTTGAAAGCCTTTGACAAGAATGGGCCCTGCAAAACTGCAGTCATTGAAAGGGTTCGGCATGCAGAGTGCTTGACTCTCATGTTACTTCTGTGGTTTTTAACTCTCTAACTAGGTAACAGAGAGATCTTAATCCAAAATTACAGGAGTTTACAAACAATGTATTAAGATAGCTAATTCTAGGTTAGCTGTCTTGGCAATATTATGCCTACAGGTTTATCTGTTCACACTTGATTAAAATTTCTTATCAACTCTAATGTCATGTTAAACCCTAGTCCGTATTTGCTCTTCGAAATGAGCGAGTTTGCTGCTACTGTGCTAGAAGGAAAAATGAAGGAACTTGCCTGAAACCTGCCTTGAAATGTACTTTTTTTTTCTATAAGCTTTATCTTGATAACACATGCAATATGTGGCAAGGTATAAAAACAAACTTCCTTTGCTGACCACCTTTGGAAACACATGTACTGTGAAAAAGTAAAAGACTTCAAGAAAGCATTCTTCAGGAAAGCAAGCATGCTGTAAGAAGCGTTAATTAGTTCTCATTCCTGCCCACACTTTTACCTTACTTTCTGACTGGAAACAGAGAAAACAGAACTTATTCCAGGGACAAAGCTCAGATTAGAGAAGCAGTATGTTAATGAAATGGTGTGGCTAAGAGATTGGGTCTTACGTTATAACTGTCACGCTCGTATAATTTCTTAAAATGCCTCCTGTTACCAGTGTTTTGAATTGTACACTTCAGCAGAACTTTGTGTTCTGAAAGTAGTCATGAATGGCCTCTTCCTAAGTACTACTTCTAAGTGTGATGAAACTGTCACTCTCCATCAAAATCTTTGGACTTTGCAGAGACTAACAAATAGTTTTGGCACAAAAGAATTTTAAGCACCAGAGCTGTATCCTGCTTGTGGAAGCATCATTAGTTGCCTGTTACTTTAAGTGAGCGTGAAAATTTTGGAGGCTATCCCTAGGCTGTTGTGTTTTTTTTTTTCTTAAAACAATGAAAGGTAGCATGATAGAGTTATTTCCTCACTAGCTGCCATGGCTGAATATTCCTAGGCAAGGACGAGTATTTTTAATATGCAAAGAACTGCACTCACTCCTCTTGTAGTGCAAATGTAATTGCAGTAAAGACAGACATTTTTTGAATTCCAAGTTAATTCATACTATGTCTTGCCCAACATGTTCTGCTGAGTTGTGCTTGTGATTTAATTATATAGAAACTGAAAGTTTCATACAGACTTCAGAAAATGCTTGATAAACTGACAGATTGGCTTGTCCTTCTTGATATCTCTTTCAAATAACATAATTCTCCCCACCTCAGCATTTGAAACGCCTGCTGAACAGACCTTTTGGCAGTTAAGATTTTGCATTGCTTGTGCTGTGAGTCCTGCAGTGAGTTCCTTGCCAAAAAATCTTGGTTTTGAATCGAGGCCCAAGAATGTCAATCCATGACATGAAGTTAGTGTACTTGACTATACATAGCATCAGCCTGTTTACAAGAAGGCAGGATTAATAATAGAAATGTAGGAAGGCTCAGGCCAAGCTACTGCTACCTACTTTCTCCTGCCATATGTCCCACACCCCTTGTCTATTCAGTTCCCTTAGCCAATGGCTGAGCAACAAAAATGACTGCAGATAATTATGCAGCCTGGCTAGCTGTATATTCTTGGCATAATTGCAAATTATTTCTGTGGCTCCAAGTGTGATTTGAAGAGTGTACACTTAAAATCACTAAATTAATTCCTTAGGCCAGACATTCAGAAGATATCTACAGTTTTGTACGCATTCTGAATTTGGACAGAGTTAAGGGCAGAGCTGTACTCTAGAGCCCACAGGCTCTGTTTTGGTACAGCTGTGTAAGACCTCACAGTCACTTTGGATGTGTAAATACTAGGCAGATGTGATGCTGGCGCGAGTCCTTGGCTGTGCCAATTGACGTGAGCATTACATAAGCATGGCTTATGACAGGGCAAGCCAGGGCCTGTTTTACACAGGCAAAGTTTTGCTGATTTGAAGAGAGTGGAGATGTATGGATGTAAAATTGGTGCTTGCCCTAAGAATGTAAGAAGGCACCACTGCCACAGGCTGATAGTACACAGAGGGACACCAAGGATTTGGAGCAGCGAAAGAGTAAAGTGAAACTTGGAAAAACTGATGAAAGGATCCTCGTGAACCTGAATTCAGTGAATTAAGAAGCATACTAAGTGTGCAAAAATCTTGAGCTGTGTAATTTGAGTTTCTTTGAATTGTGATTAATTTAAAGCATACAGTTGAAACTCAGGAAATGTATTTCTTGTGGAGAAGAGGATGAAAGAACAACAGTACTTCCTCCTGAATGCTTTTAAAGAGCATGTGTTACAGAAATACTGTTTCTGAGGAGTTGTATTTAATAAATTAAGTACAGTGATTCAAGTGTGATTTAATGTGTTTTCAAGCACAAACCTACACAGTGCTTTAAATTCAATGTTGCTATAAAAATTTCCGTAAGGGTAGAATTTCAAAAACAAATTGGAAACCAGAATGTCATTACATAGATTGCTCACGGATTGTGCAAAATTTAATGACACTTCTACTTCATGGTAGAACAAATATAGTGATTTATTTTTTTTTTTAACAAACTGTATTCAGATCCAAAGTGCATAAAAGCAGACTGTGTTCTTGAATCTGAAAGTGCCAGGTAATCACTTTGTGCATCTCTGAGAGGATTATCTCACACAGAAGCCTTTATTTTTCATGCAGGCACCATTACAATGAGTCAGTCAGACTGCTCCAGTCCAAGAAGGAATTTGTGAAAAACAAACAGCCCACAGAAAGATCTACAGGAAATTTCATTTCTTCTCAGTGCTCAGGTTGGTTCATAAATGTAAGCAAAATCTACTTTAGCATTAAAGCAATGTAACTTTATGGAACTGGATGAAATTTAACATGGTAGCTGGGAAGTTCTTATGATTGGGGTGGTTGGGGCTACCTGCCAAGAACAAGCTACTCCTGCATGACTGCTTGTGTTGTTACTTTGTAGTAAATGCCACCTAATAAGGAGATTTCCACAACTCTTCCCCAACAAGAAGATTTATTTGGGGTTTGTATTAATTTTTGGTTTTATAAGCGTCTCTTTAGCTGTGTCAGATGTATGCTGTGACCCTGCTGTTTTGCAATATAGAGTATATTAATAAAGAACGTTGATATAGGGATTATTTGTCACTGCTATACAGTTTACTAAGTATATGGCTGCAATACCAGTGATCCTAATGCACTGATTTATTTTGTTTTCTTAACTACATTTCTAGATAGAAAAGCTTCTCTGACATTAGACTTATGACAGATTCTGTGAAGTCTGCTTTGGCTTTCTTATTTTATCTGGTTCCCTAACTTCCTTAAAGTATGGGTGGATCTCTGATGTTTTAAACTACACCTTTAGTGTTGTAACACTTGCACTTGAATAATCTATTTGTTACTTGTGGTTACATTTAAGTTTTTAAAGTATGGGCTGCTGTAGCATTAGAGATGGAAGAGAAAATCTGGTGTTCAGGCAGCAGTTGAATCTTGCCTGATGGAATTATTGTTGACAAGTGTAAGTCATGTTTTTCTCCTTACCACACTGAGGAAAATTAGTGTAAAAGTACATAAGACTATTTTGATTCTCCATTATATAAAATTTCTGGGTATTATTTTCTTTAGCTTTTTGAGTTTTGTAGCATTTTCTGTTTAAAAAAACAAGAAAACCTTACGAAGTTCAAAGAGATCTGTCTTTCCTGTTAAGTTTCTTGGTTTAGAATCAATCAGTCATCAGCATAGGTTTTTTTCTGACGTCAAAAACAAAAGGTACAGCAAAAGCTGAGTGAGAAGAAGGACTGGCATGAAATATATCTCCCTGTCTAGAGCACAGTGCCTGGATTTTTTTCTATTTGTATTCTACCTGACAGCTATTTCCAGGGAACAATCTGTTAGTGTGAACAGAAAGAAGTCCTGCAACCTGTTGCTGCTTTCCTTTTCTGCCTGCAGCGCTTTGTCAGACTGAGCCACAATATGGGCTTGGTTATGTAAAACACACCACTGAAAAGGAATGGAACAGATTTTTCCACTTTCTCTGGTTGCTTGCAGTGGGCTGGAGGGAAAGATCGAGTGCTACTGAAAACTCCAGAATGGGGTATAGTTTCTTCTTTCTCAAAAATGTGTTGGTTAGCACAGACTTTCCAATGGCAGGCAACTGTCACCCTGTTTCCTCTATCACAAAAACTCTTCTATAACACCACGTGAGGGATCAGTGAAATCTGTTGAATCAGGCTTTTCTCTGGAGTTTGCAGGAAGGTTCTCCTATATAAATGAAGCTTTTGCAAAGATCAGGTTGAATTTCATGGTGCAAAATTCCATGGCATACTATTTTTCTACTAAATATTTTCTTGCTGAACTACAAGATTCCCTTGTATGGTGCTGACTCATTATTTTTCCATAAACAAAAATCAGGTAATTTTAGTACGTATTGCACATAAAAAGGCTCATTAAGGACATGTATAGAACACTTATTATGGCTTTTTAAATTTAGACTAACTTATTGATGCTATCCATTCAGAACAACATAGGACTTGGACTTTTTCATTGTATTTTTCAATATCTGAGCTCTAAATATTAGAAACAACTAAAACTAGTTTCTTCTTGTTATTCCTCTATGCTGTGATAGCCTATAATGCCTACAGTACCCTGGAAAAGTCCTCAGAGAGCTCAGAATTCACCTGTGGTCGAAAATTTTGTTATGGGAACATAAAATGTGGATAGCCTTACTGAAGGAATTAGGTGTTAGATGTCCATATCTTCACTTGAGCATTCAATCTTTGTTCTTATTCAAAAGTAGCATACTAACTAGTGTAAACAATGGCTAAGCATTCAAATGAAACCACTGTATTACAAATTGCTTTCAATAGACTTCATATATATATTTATATGTATCTAATGTTTGTTAAAAGCTCCTCTTAGCTCTTCATATGTTGCTCTGGTAAGATTTGCTGTTCCACCTTGATTCATAAAGTATAGCTTTGCATGCAATATTTTCCGAATTACAAGAGATGGTTAACTGTCTTCCTTTCATTTAATATTGATTTCTCTGCACCTCAAGTCTTAGTTGGTTCACATGGCCAGCTTTGCTGTCACCTTTCAAATCATTTTCCCTGGTGCAATCCAACAGCAGTTGTCCTTAGACCTTGCCCATTCTGAAGTCCAGGTACTTTGATATTTTTTTCCACTTCAGCTTATATCCTCCTTCCCCCTGTACAACACTGCCCACCATTCTTGATTGAGCTATGCTGATAAAGAAGAAAACAGCAAAAATTTCCCTGGTTTAAGACATGCAATATCCTGAAATTAAGGCTATAGTACTTTTCTAAAAAGAAATGAAGAGCAGCTGTTTGGTCTTTGTCCCCAGATTGTTACTTAGCAAAGTGTCCTTAAAGGGCCAAAGATACATTCTTGTTGGCACAGGTGTGGAAATTCTTTTCGAAGAGCTTAAAATCTCTTAAATTAGTTTCTAGTTTATGTAGGGCTTTTCCTTTTGGGTTTCTACATTGGATTGAATCTACTGTTATATGAATCCTATCATTTTCTGATCATTCATCAGCTATTGGAAGTATGGACATTATTTTGGCATTTAACTCCCTTGTTGCCTGGTCTTTTATGCCAAAATGACTCTTTTGTTTGTTCCTTGCCCTTCTCGGATTGGTTGAGTAGAGGAATCATTTTCTCCTTTAGTGCAGCTTTGAGTGATGAAGTAGGTAGGGTAATTAATTGTGACCAGACACATCAAACCCAAGCTAAATCATTCCTGTAGCCTTTTGAAGGAAAATTGTAGTAAAAGATAAATATTTGATGATAGTAAAACAATTGTAAGTATAATTTTTCTAATCTTCCAATAAAACTGAGCAAGAATAGAAATCCCTTATTTCTTCTTGTCTTTCTAGTTACACCGGAACTAAAGCTGCTCTGTGGGGCTGATTTTCTACATACGTTTCAGACACCCAATCTCTGGAAGAAAGAGCACATCCAAGAAATCTTAGAACAGTTTGGTTTGGTCTGTATAAGCCGTGCTGGCTCTGATCCTGCTCAGTACATCAATGAATCAGAACTTCTAACTAAATTTCAGCACAATATCTTTCTAGTGAAAGAATGGATTCAGAATGAAATCAGTTCAACACAGATACGCCACGCCTTGTGCAGAGGATTAAGTGTAAAATACCTCATACCAGATTCTGTCATAGCCTACATTGCTTACCATAATATCTACACAGAAGAAAGTGAGCGGAAGAATGAAGGTGACTTGCTTCAGCCTCTGAAGTTGCATAACACAGCGGTAAGCCCGCTGAATGACAGATGCCCGTAGTTTGTGAAATGGACAGACGTGACCTTTTCTTCATGAGAAGCTCTTGAAAGATGTTTCTTCTTGATAAGGGGGAAATATATCAGCCCAAAACTTCCTGAGTTTATGGTGTTTTAATTTTTTTCTTGCGAGCTGTAGTGCTTCATAAAATCAGCACACTCAGTTGAATACCATAAAAACGGAAATAAGGTTTTAGCAATAAATGATAATCTTCAGTCATATTTAAAGGTTGAACATAGTGCTTTCCATATTTGGAATTCCTTAATCTTATGGACAGTTTAAGGATGAAGATGCCTTATTGTTCTGAAGCAGCAAATTGAAATGAACAGCAACTTCCCTATTTTCCTTAAAAATAATAAAAAAAAAAAACCAAACTCCTAAATGTAGACTTAGGACCCCAAATTTCTGTTTCTAAAGAGTGTAAGGTAAGCTACAAGTGCATTTGTTTGGCAGATAGGAGAAGTTGAAATAAAGCAAGTGCTTTAAAAATTAATGCACCATTCATATCAGTTTTAAGCCTCCTGATTTACAAATGAAAGACGGTCTCTGTCCCACTACGTGAAGTGGATTTCTTTGTTTCTCTGATCTGGAGTCTATAGCATATTATCTATTCCAGAGCCTTGTTGATCATGTGTCCTAGAGGACTGTAGAACATTAACCCTCTTTTTAAGTTGTAAAAAAAAAAAGTTTCTGATGTTCTTGGTCACATTGTGAGGTAAATCACAATGTAGTTGTTTTCCACTGATAAATGTAATGCTTTCTTGCTGCATTTTTGGATGTATAGCAATGCAAAATAAAAGGAAAAAAGAAAAACCTCTGAAAAACAACAAAAGCATAACACCAAAAGCTAAAAATGGCCGTCTTCCCAAGTAATATTAAAATGCATCCAATTTTTCATAGATCAAATTTGTGTCATATAAAACATATACCTTGTCTTTTCCTACAGGTGGCTTCACTTTTGAATGATATGGAAAGGTATTACCAAACTAAAGAAACCAAAACATTTTTTTTGTTCTACAATAAGTTACAATAAGTAATTCTCAAAAATGTTACTTGGTCTAGGTACATCTCTTTGTAAAGAAAACTATTAATTCAGCATAATGTTTTAGTAAACAAGTAAAATGGAAAAAAATACAGGTCTTGTTCCAAAATAGAGGGTACTTTGATAATAGTGGCATGGAGCTCAACCTGTACCATTTGAAAAGGCATGATAGAAAACATGAAATACCTAAGAGACTTTCTTAGTATTTGAATGCAAATGCTAGCCAGACGAATCTATTCTCTTGTGGGTAGGTTGCCTAATTTGATTCTGTCTCACTCACTTTTTAACAGGGTGCCTTCAGCTATCCTGTGAGTTAACAGCAAGCTCTGGAGGATTGCTCTATCTTTGGTTTTTCTTACACTCGGGAAAGAAGAAGGAAAACAGGCAAAGGCCTGACTGTGGGCCTCATGTAGCTTCTTATTTTACTTAAACAGGACTGCATAAAACCATGATATACTAGAAGGGTAGATTCAACAGATATGGAAAACTAGCTACTCACTTGTCTGAAAGAGAGTAGCTGCTACTACTTCACACTGAATGAGTGCCAGCACTTGACATTTTCTGTATTGCCACTAAAATGCAAATTGTTTTCTAACCTAAGAGTACACATTTGGCTCAGAATTAATAAAATATAGATAAGTACGTTTGGGAAGTGTGATAACTTGCACTGCTGAAATCAGCATACAGACTTCAAGGACTTTTGGTCTAATGTACTGGAACTACTTGGATATTATCCCTTTGAAATAAAGAACTCTGCTCATGTAGGATTTCTCTGTACTGGATAAAGATGTAAACAAGGGGGCATACACAGCTTGGTTTAAGGCATCTTATTTGTGGAAGGGAAATGCTTTCAGTGTGTACTTCAGGTTATTCAAGTCAGGCTCCTACTTGGCCAGTCTTGGACAAGCCCTCCTTTCTTCCATTGGTTCTATAAGGATATTAGCTTTCTAATCACAGCATCTACAATAGCTATCCATGTTTGGTCAGCCTGTGTTTTGGAAGTGAATTTTAAAAGATGGCAAAGGAGGAAGTTTGTCCTTAAATAATTGCTCACTCCATCCATACTCTGGGATTGTGCAGAATTCAGTTAATGTAGCTCGGTAAGAGTAAGATACTCCATCTTTATAGTTGGCAATTACTTTTCTAAATCATTAGATGTGAAATAAGGTTGTAATGAAGTGATGTGTGGAGGCTAAAGCACCCTAAAACAATACAGTATAGTTAGTATTTTGGAAAGCACAATGGTTGTATCTACCAACATGACATTTGTTCAGCTCCCTGCAGAAGGGTATCTTTCATGGGAGTAATTGAACTGAATAGGAGTTCTGTGCTCTTATTCTGAATTCTCAGTGTTTTCCCTTAAAATAAAACTATCAGTACCCTTTCCCTGAAGTAGCTCCACAAGGAAAAAATGTGAGTTATAAGATAGTTGTTGCATATTGATGTCAGCTAAAATGTTAGGTTGTGCTTCTATCTCTTTTTTACAGCAAGGAAGAGAGCTGCTTACTGCAAAGTGAATAGAGATCTTCAGGCTTTCAAACTTAAAAGGGTGTAAGAAGACAGCCTAATTTCTTCTGTACTTTTGTGTTTGTACACAAAGGTAAAGCAATAATGCTTTTTGAATCTCCTATAAAGCAAATGTTCCCTTGCTTCCTGCAGGTCATGTTAGTTAGGTACCTTTATATTGCCAACACAGATTTCTGTTGTATGATAGATACTTTCTGCTAAAATCACAAACCTGTGGCATTTCAATATCTTTGTAGATAAAAATTTTCTCTCCTAGTCTAGTGGGATTTGTTGCTTACGTATGTCTTATATTGTTTGACTCTAACTTTTGGAAGCACTGGATGCAATATACAAGTAATTTGTTTGAGTTGTTTGCTTCAAGTTGGTGATTGCTCTTATCCTTATGTAGAGGAAATGCTAAGTCAGAGCCTGAAACAATGATTGAGCACCTGAAAAGAAAGGCAGGTGCATGCAATGTACCTGAGCAACCAGAAGAATGGAGCCAGGATCCACCCCTTTCCAGACTTCATTTAAGGGTTGGCAGTAGAGGTGAGGCACTTCTTGCTAGAGTTCCTTGCCTACCTGAGGCTTTCCAAAGGTGAGCAGCTCTTTTCCTTCATTTCTGCATTTGCAGCTGCTGCACGTGGGTCTGTTGTCATTTGCTGCAGCCAAAGACTTTGCCACCCTGCTATAATCGCAGCACTTTCTATCCCATTATAGCTTTACACCTTAAAACAGAATGCAGTTTTTTAGCTTTAAGGGTTTCTTGTTTTCAATCACTTAGTAGTATTATTTAAAAAAAAAAAAAAAAAAGTTATTTATTTAGGAAACAAATTATTGCTGTAAAGGCATATGAGAAGTTAATATCTATGAAGTGCTGCTTCTTTGCTCCAGTGTTGCTTAAATTAACTGAGAGTGTGCATTCTGTTGTGATGCAGTATTTATTCACGTATGGAACTAACCACTGCTGCTTATGTCTAAATGCCCCTTTTTGAATCCTCAGCTGCCCAAACAACTCAACAGGCAGAATTAAGGAGCTCACGGAATAAGTTAATGCAGACACAAATTGCAGTATGAGAGGTCTTAGGCCTTCTTTTCCATAAAGAAGGCATAAAACAGATGGATGTACTCTAAGAAGTAGGATATCCCTTAAAAAAGCACACAAGGTATACACTTGTATAGCCTTGGCTAATAACCTAAACTAAAGCCATTTAAAGAATCTTGTTTCTTAGTGGCATTAAAAAAGAAGAGTTGTTATGGTTAAAATGAATTTCCAGATAATCAGTAGCTTTACAGAAGTTACAGGGAAGATGAATGTTTCATTCTGTTTAAATCAAGTCATCCTGCTGTCAGTAGAAATCTCAGAGGTTCAGCCTTGTGGAAGGATTTAAAGGCAACACTTCAGCAATAATCGGATTAGAAGGACTTGCATAGCTACGTGGTGTAAAAACCAGATAAAAGAAACCAGAGTTCAGATTTGCCACAAAGAAAGGCAGTGAGCTGTAAGGTGCAGAACCTGAGGCTGATTTTGACAATTACCTGGAGTAGGGATGCCTGCAGATTTCAATGGTTACTGGAAAATGATCAGCAATGACAATTTTGAGGAGTATCTCAAAGCACTGGGTAAGGTTCCCTTCATGTTTCTTATAAGTGATCAATAAATGCAGACTATCCTAATCTTCTCATGAATCTATTCTACTTGTATGGTCATAAAGCATTTTTGTGAGAAACAGTTTCTTCAGGAACTAAAAACTGCTCTGTGCAAAATTGTCTTAAGCAGTCCACTTCTTGATATCACGGAGTTTCCAAGTGTAGTGACTAAACTACATAGCTGAAAGAGGTAAGTTGCAGACTTTAAATTTAAAACCCAAATATAATTTGAGAGAGTGAAACTTTTGCGTGCTACAGAGATGGTAATGTACTTGAGGCGGTTTTGTGTGTTTGCGTGTGATGAAGTACATAAAAAGCTACTACTCCTGCAGAAATTCTAGTACCCTTATTAACTGTCAAATACAAGTAGCAAAACAAGGCATAAATGTAGGCAACAGAACTGGGCTGTAGACTTTTTTTTTTAACAAGCTGGCCTGAAATATCTGGGCACTTACCTTCACCTAATCTCTCCCAAGAGCTACAAGCCTCTTTTTCTGGTAGATGTTTCTGTATTAAAGTAACTCTCTTTTTCTTTTTCAGATGTAAATGTTGCTGTAAGAAAAATAGCAAACTTGCTAAAACCTGACAAAGAAATCTTTCAGAATGGAGATCATATGATTATTAAAACGCTAAGCACTTTTAGAAACTACATCATGGAATTTGATGTAGGAAAGGAGTTTGAAGAGGATTTAGCTGGGGTGGATGATCGCAAATGCATGGTAAGAATTAGAACTGTAACAACTGACGAAATAAAAACAAGGCTATTAAGGCTTTGCATAGACTACATCTATAAGCCTTTTCTTTTTTTGTGGCTACTCCTAAAACTGTATTTATACTTCTCAGTTTGAGATGTGCACGGCTTTTAGCATGCCTTTACATTAATGGAATATAATTGTAATCAGAATCATGACAAAGTTCTAGCAATTAATGAATAGTAGCTTCAATGTTCTCAGTTATTCTGGAATATTTGTTAGTCTGGAAGACATCTGCATTTAGATTTTCAGAATCTCTTCACTGACAGATGCTTTACAGTAGAAGAAATCAACTTGTTTCAGGGCCAGGTATCCTTCCCTATCTGAAACAATGGTCAGGTGCTCCAAAGCTGTTTTTCTGTGCTCGTTCCTTCCTGGGTGTATGTGGTAGAGCTGATGTGTTCATTAGCCTAACTGGAACAAATCTTCACAGTCAATAAGCTAGCACTGAGGTCTCTGCATTATGAGCTCTGTTTGCCTGCCAAAGAGACAATATTGTCCAGCTTATTGATAAATACCCGTTAATTGATAGTTGATTGATAAATACCCGTTATCAGGGAGAACTTGAGAATACCAAGTTCTTCACATATATACAGCTGGACATTTTCTTCTGTGTTTGAGAGCATAAAATGCCTGTGATATCCCACAGTGAAGATAAGTAAAAGAAAATTATTTCAGCAGGGAATATAGAGAAGTAATACAAAATAGAATTAATAGGTTTCCAGTCTTAGAAAGATGTACATCTGTGCAGTATGTTATTCTCTAACACTAGACTAACTTGCTTTTGCTTTGTAAATGGCAGGAAAGGGAATGACCTGGAAAAATAGGGGAAAAAAGGGGCAGGTGAGCAGCAAGGAAGGTTCTCAACTAATCCCTCTGTACTCCTTGTTATAGAGCGTAAGAGCATGAAACAGAAGAAAAAACTGCGGAAAGGTGAAGTGTATGTGTGTAAAGGGAAGGGCCCAATATCATATGACTTCTGGAAGGCTCTTCATTTGAGATAAAGACCAGATCCATTGAGCAAATATGAACCTGAAGAAGGTCTTAGATTTTCTTGGCTAAAGTGCTTTCAAAGATAGCAATGGTCAGCTTACCTGCTTAAGGGCTAAAAATATGCAAAGTTCCCATTGTTTAATTCAGTGAACTACTGATATGCATGTGTACAGAATTATCTCCAGCTAAGCACTACCTATACTTAAGGACCATTAAACTCCCAACTAAAACATTCTTTAGCTGGCAGAATGAAGTAATTTTGCTAGCGTGTGCCTTCAATGAGTTCTCACAAGCTCTATCAGACAACCACTGTGCTTAAAAAAATAAAATAAAATAGAATTCAGAAGACATGAAAATGTGGCCCCTGCCCAGTCCTGCTTCTGAAATGCAGAACAGGTAAAACATGTAAGTCTTGGTTCCCTGAAACGTTTCACTATTTGTAATAGGCCAGTATTCTCTACTTGACATTTCTAGATTGAGTAATAGGAAAGGATGTAAAATATCGAATGAGAAGGAAGAAATAAGAGACTATTCCAGTCATTTACAGCAGTTATTAGATTTGGAATAGAATCTAGTTTACTTCTAACTGTTCTTTAAAAAATGTATCTATTGGTGGTTTGCAAAATCACTCAGAACTGTAAACAGGATGTATCAGCATCGATTTGCCTTGGGGGAAAAAAAAAGTTGTGGTCATGCTAATACTAACAATTAGTTTCTTTGTTAAGTATGACTTAGGCATGCAACTTCAGAATGGCTTTCAGAAGTCTCTCTTTGTGGTCTCCCACATCAGAAGATACCAACTGCGGCTCTGTAAGGTCAATCTAATCATTGCCTGTAATGTATCATACGTAATAGTTCAATTCTCTCATAAAAGGCATTTTTATGAAACCTCAGCTTTTCCAAAGAAAGACAAGTACAAGAAGTTGTTCTTGAGATGCAGCTTCAGTCCAAGTCTAACAACCAAAACGTCAGTAAAGATTTGCAGTTTTAAGCAAAGGAACAACTCCATATGGACAGGTGCCTTGTGAAAGGAGTGTTACGGAGCTGAGCTGATAAATGCTAGAATATTCCTTGAGTGGTGGTATGAGGAAAGCCACCATAAGAGTGAAGGATGAATGCGGTTTTTGATGTTTCCTTTCCTTATACATAGGAGCTATGATGTATGGTTCAATGGCTTTTAGAGGCAATGGGAGAACAGTTGGACTAGATGATCTTGTCCTTTCCAACCTTTTCTGATTCTTATGAATCTACATGCCATAAATGGTGTAATCATTAATGTTCAGTCTATCTAATGGGAGAGTTTGAGTCATTTACTGTTATTTACATTGTGAACTGAGCACATTGCTGGGCTGGTTCTCTCCTCAGTAACAAGCAGCTCAACACAAAACAAGTAGGAAGTAACATGGATACAACAAATTACATATTAAATGTTACTCTGTATAACAGATCCAACAGGAAGAAGCTAGAGTCATCTAACTAGGGTTAACATCAGTAAAAATAAAAGCACAGTGGACAGGTTCAGTCTCTAAAATTTTGTCCACCGTTCAGTTGTAAAACACGTCTTTGAATCTCCGAGTAATTACAATATTTCAAAATCAATAGTGTGCAATGAGTAAAAGCTGACCAGCTTTGCTAAGTCTAAATTTAGAAGAAAGGCAAAGGTATGACAATAACAAAGTCTTATGACAGTGTAGGCTGCATTTCTTCATTTCACTTAGGGTTGTTTTCCTTATCGTTGCTGGTCACTTAGTTTTTGCTGGAAGCTTTTCTGAGGTAATTCAGATGGATAATCCTTAACAGTTTGGGTTGTTTTTTTTTTCCATCTTTAACCATCACTTTCTTGTCTGCAGCACGTTTTTGGATGATTTCATTTTCTTAAAGGGTAGTGGTATCAATACTTCTATGATTCTGTTTATCTTGGAAAGTGAGGACTTGCTTTAGAACATAAAATTTCTGTTTCCTAAAACCAAGCATTACGATAGCTGCCCACTCAGGAGAGAGCACTAATGATAGGCAAAGTGCTGCCAAAAAGACTGTATTCCCTGTATTCCAAGCAAGAAATGAGTCCTGCCTAGTTTGTATTCAGGAAAAAATGTAGTGAACTTAAGGTACTCAAGGCATAATTTGATTTATACTGTTGCAAGGTCAGAAAAAAGTGCTATTAAAATTACATGGCTCATTAAACTTTTTTATACTGTTACTTCAGCAGGGTTCCTTTAATACCAGAAATGGAATTCACAGCTGTTAATCTAGTTTAGAGTAGGCAATGCAACGAATACTTTGCTGTTAGAAAAAGCAAGCGCTAGGACACTTGGAATTTTGGTGGGGAGTCTGCATAGAATGAGAAGATGCAAAAGGAATATATTTTTTTTTTAAGTAAGAAGCAAGGTCAGCAATGTGTCTTTACTTGATCCCTGTGATTCAACACTTTCATTTCTATACCTCTATGAATGGTGTCACTTTCTTTTTAAAAATTACTTCAATTTTTTTATTTGGGCTTGTATTTTCTCATTTACTATATTGGAAAAAGCTTTGTTCTAGAATGGCAATCGATGGGAGATGTCTAGAATATACACATATATACAAAGACTTCTCTCAAATCTTCTGCTCCCTTTCTCTGCAGTATTATCCCCAGCTTCTTACTGGGCTAATCTCTGACTTTAAGGGGTTTTAATTCAGAGGAAGTAGCTTTCATGTAGTTTTGTGTTTCTGACCTTTTACAAACTACTGGCTCCAGGTGAGGAAGAACAGTTCTCCAGTCAACCTCTCTGGGGCTCTAGCGAGCAGAGATCCAGCCTTGGATCTGCCTCAGGCTCTCTCAAATTCCGGTTCAGTCTCTGTGCCTAAGTAGAGAGGAGCTATTTCTTCTCTTTTTTCCTTGTTTTTGTCTGTTTCACATTGCAGGCCTTTTTTGGCATTACTGCATATTAGCAGTAAGTGATACGCTCAGCACATTTGTGACATGATGTCAGATGAGATCTCTAGAATATTTTGTCATACACATTAAGATGTCATTAACATCAAATGTTGCAGTGCTAGATTCATTTCTACTACCTGAGACGAACTGTAGGCTTTGAGCTACTTACTCACAAAATCACTGCTAACGTTCTGAAAGCTCTGTGGGCAGGATGGTTTTGAGTGGGCTTAGCATTTCAGCTTTACTATCTCCTACAGTTCTCCAGGTGCATGTAATGCAGTGTGCAAGCAGAAATAATCTGATGAAAACCTGAGAACCTGACTTGCCTAACTCCTTTTTGAATGAAAAACCATTAGTATTATGTACAACTGCTTCTTGCTAAGCTTATGCAGAGAGCAAATCAGTTATGCACGTTAATTTAATAAATGTCTTAGAGTCAATTCTGATCCTTGCACAAAGTGAATTAGATTTGTTTTCTACTCTTTTTCTGCTGATGTATCCTTCTGATATAGGATATCAGAAGTCATCCCATTTTTTAAGATTCTTACAGTTTTATTTCAGTAACAAAAAACCTAACCATTCCTAAGAAATAAAACACCATGTGCTAACCAGAATGCTTATTCCACTCCTCCAAAGCCTGGAATGTCTCTCCCTTTCCCTCTCTGCTCCTATGAGCAAGGATTCAAAATAAGCAATTTGAACATTTTAAGTTCTGACACTGACAGTAGCTTACCCTTTGATCTAAAACTTGTCATTGCAGTTCTGTTTGCTAGGAATGGAGATGCTGACAGTCACCAAAGCAACACTTCTAGAAGTGGCTCTTTTTATTTTTATTACAGTGAATTTCACTAAGCTTATCAGTCAGGTACAGAATGCCCACATTTTAACCAGCTTGTCTTTCAATGATCTGAGCTTGTAAGTTTGTAATGGCACACAAACACATTTCAGAGTTCTATAGTTATAGATACCCATTATGATATGTCACATGTGCCAGCCCCACAAAAAGCTGAGAAATGTTCTGTTTTGTGCTACCAGCGTTTTCCTATTAGTTAACTCT